ATGACCTGAAATAAGTAAAATGCACGGGAATGCGCAGGTTGAGCAACTCTGAGACTGCCAATGATGGGCAAATCACTACAACGTCCAGTGATGCTCGTGTTTGACAGTTAAATTGTGCACGTTTGGCAGTTTAGCAGTTGACTGGCACCTGAAAGTTTATGCCACTTCGAGTGCTGCCACTGGTGCCCCTCCAACCCGAAAGAGTGGTGATCTCATGGCGTGTCATGCGCAATTCAGTTGCAGTTGCTTGTGTGCCGTGTCTTGAGATATCCAGTCTACACAGACGAAACAGTCAGAGTTCTTGTTATCATAGCTTTGCCAACCACATCCAACCACTTTCGCTGAGAGATCACTCGTGCTCTCAAACAACTCATATTCCCTCACTCTGTTCTCGGCCACAGTGTTCCGGTAATCTCACAGTTTTGCCCTAGAAAGGTGGAGACAGGAACAGTTTATATTTCACTCGGCCAATAGTTTAGCTTGTTCATGAGCCGGAAGGGCATGTCAAACTCTGGAAGGGAAATGTCCGGCTGGTGCAAAAGCTCTGTCCGGTTTACACAACATCTTACACAAATGCAGCAAAGATGATTCTTCACTCAGGCCACCAGGGAAGGCCAAGCTCATACCAAATCGGTGTGCAACTCAAAGGCCGCAAAAGCTCAAGCAAAGTATGATAACTGAAAGTGCTCGTGTGCGACGTGAAGCAAATCTTCCCCTTCTGCAAGACCCCATTTGACTTGGTGTCGACCGGTTTGAGCGCTTGCCTTTTGATCTATAGACACCACTCGCACCCAAGACTTTTTGCAAGCATCGCCTGTCCACATAAAAGATGGCTTTGTTATAGTTCACGGTTTGATCCATGGATACACGTAGAGCCTCCAGCCCAAAGACCTTCGGCCCGAGCTTCATGTACTTCGAAGGCGGAACCATGCAGCACGTCGTCATTTGGTTTCGGTGTTGTTTTTGTCCTTATCTTGGAACGCGCACGTGCGATACTCCAGCCCTGCTTTTCGCGATTTTGCTGTAGCTTTGGCCTGCAAGTTGATGCTTTTCATCTTCAGATTCTGCTTGAGAAAAGTGCTGAAGAGCTAAGACCTGGAAAAAAGCTTTACTTAAAGTGCTTGAGCTTGACCTCATCTGACCTCATGACACCTCATCATGCTTGAGTTCACTCCTTTGTTTGGTTTGGCACAAGCCACAAGTAGACTGCTTTGGAACCGTCACCTCAATGCAAGGCCTAGGTGGTGGCCTTGGACGAACATGCACGCACATGCTCAATTGTGACGCAATCATGCTCAGTTCGGCCGTTTCTTATTCGCTTAGTTTCTAGACAACTGTTTGATGCAGCCATCCACAGTACTTGCTGCAGAAATGATCGAATTGGCGTGCTTAGTTGATTCAACTGATTTCATCACGTTAATCTCCACAGCAAATCTTCTTCGCCCCAGCTTGTCGAGCAAGTTGTGCAGCGGGAGACCTCTATATAGTCCGTGCTTTGCCCTGATTGCAACCCGAGTCGAGCGCACAAGGGTTCTCATATGTGTTCCGACTGCACTTCAGACTCAGCCAAGCTTAGGCCTTGCTTTGGATCCATCAAACCAAGCTGTAATGATGCTGATACTGTGTGTGCTGACGCTCTGAAGCAAGTCCCCGACAGAGCCAAGTTGTCTAGGCTCAGAGTCGAGTGGTTTCCAAATGCTGTCCAGTTTCTGGCCAGTGCGGTCAAAGTATTGAAGAGTTGCATTCAATGCAACACTTCATTTGCAAGTCGGCATGCTTGGTCGTGACCTCCGTCTGCCTGTGACCAAGCTCAACCGAGCCTCGGTTGGCGCTTGGATTCAGCAGATTCAAGAGTCCATTTTGCACCTTCTGAGCATGAATTCCGCTCAAACTCAGATGATGTTTCCGCATTTGAACAGAGGCAACCTATTGCCTATTGATACGAATCGCAAGGATTCCCTGGCAGGCCTTGGCAAGTCCAATCACCAGATTCGACTGTCCTTGGTCGGAGTCAAAGCTATTTAAGAGAGTCCAAGCAGCTGGAGATGGCCCAATCCACCTTCACCGCAGCTAGGGTGTAGCAGCGTAGCAGTCTTGGCTGAGCATGCTGAGCTTCCATTCCATTTGTGCATCTCATCAAGATATTGGCTGCGGCTCTTGGGGTGCCATCTACTCTCAATCCACTATACATAAATCCATGATGGATTGAAAATCATGCCCGAGTTCTCTGCAGCAGTTCCTGCAGACTTGTGCTTGCACCTTGGTTAGCATCAGGTTTCTTACACTTGATCGACGTGAAACGCACAGATTCGAGCCCAAGAACCCAAACACCGGCTCCGAAGCTGAGGCCTTTCTAAATGCAAGCTTGTGCAGCTTACGCGCTGGAAACATATTTTTTTATAGTAGTTCATTAGCTAAATGGCTCAGGATCCCACGCAACGCTGCTGCTTTGAACTCGTGACGGCAGGCTCCAGCCGAAATGTGCCTTTCCGTAAGATGAAGTTGAAGTAGCTCGACAGCTGCAGCTTTACACTTGTCGCAAAAATCATTTTTTCTTCAACTCGTTCGGTCCGATAGTTTCCAACTCCGCCGGCATAGAGCAGAATGATCAGATGACCAGAGTGAACGCTCAGGAATAAGGTAGCAAGACACATGTCAAAATATACACTGAAATCACTGCCAAGAAAAGACCTGTAGATATTTGCCACGAAGGATTCCTGCAACGAACGACTTCAATGGAGCGTGAGGTCCTGAAAGTGCGATTGATGTGCCTTCCGCAGTTTACACCTACAATGCGTTGCTCAACAAAATGAAGACGGTGTATCAACAATATGAAGGCGGTTGCGTTTGGCCGTCAAGGTACTTTTGAGTGACACCCAATGTTGTGCAGAATGCTTTTGTAGGGATCCTTCAAGCGCTAGAGGTGCATGCTGGGACAGCTGCATTGACCGCATTGACTCAGTCTGCGCAAAAGCGACCGCAAGTGTTTTTTTGACAGCTTGAAGTTATACCAAGGCTGCAAACGGCTTGGAAAAGGATGACAGAAGCTGTTTCGAAGCAGCCTTAGGAATGACAAACCAACGGCAGGATTCCTCCCGGCTGCAACCTTACCCTTGGATGCAGATCAACGATTGTAGATACAAAGCGGGTGGGTCTGTAAGCTGTACGAACATTGGCAGGTACGACCAAACTGCCATCCGATAAAATCATGAAATCCTAGAAGACACTTCGCTAAGAAAGACCTATGATGGATTTCAGGGGATGGTGGGCACGGACCGGGCTGTGACTCACACCATACAATCTCAGCTCGATGCATTCCAAAACGAATCAGAGCATTCCAGATTTGTGATTGCCAGACAGAAGCTGAATCACATGCATCGCATCTCATTTATTCCAATCGAAGTACTTCTATCTCAAAGGAGTTCGCAGTCCCCACTGCAAGCTCTATTCAATGCAACGGACCCTTTCAGAATCGGAGGCGTTAGCTGTTGGATCACCATTGTTGCTGCACACCACTCCAACAAACAGACCAGGCCAAAGTGAGCTTGGGTGTTTGTTTGGGTCTTCGGTTGGGTCCACAGCAGCAGCCCGGCTGTTTCCTACAAAGCATGCCGAAGCGACTCAATCCCTGTTCTCTTCAATCGTTAGCCTTTGTGCATGGGGCAGGCGCAGTGCCAAGGTCAGCCAATTTTGGGCTACGCGCTGGCTAGGCGTAAGCATTTCAGTTGATGCAACATTCTGAGCTTAGATTGTGTTCCTGCTGTCCAAACTACGCACAAGAGCGAGCCACCTCGCTTGATCAGTATGTTTGAGCTTCAACCTCACCATGCGAAAGTACTGCAAACCACAAGGATGGCTCCATGTACAGTCTGAGTTTGCGGACGTGCGCCTTGGTTGTGATTATCGTGATTGGCAAACATAGCTTTTCTTCTTGTTTTCAGGGCCAGGGTCCACGCCCGCTTGCAGCCATGTAGATTTGAATCGTTTTCAAGCTTGGGATCATCCTGCGCTCCTCCCAAAAGATGTCCAAATCAGAAAGCCTGAAGCTTCCTTGAGACTTTTTCCATTTCCCTCTCCTCCCTCCCTCCCTTTCTCCTTTTGTTCTGTTGGGTTGTTTTTGGCTTGTTCCTCGGAGCCATGGCACTCCTACCATATTGGCTGGTGCATTCTGTTCATGACCATTAAGGCTCAAAGTACACCAGATCTAAAAAGAGACACGTGCACTCACCGTGCATACGTGGTCGCCACTGAAAGTGTAGCAGAGCAGTGATCAGTGAATTGGTTTGAACCTGGAAAGTCCAGATGAGCTCCTCAAAAACTGGGATGAGTCAAGTGTTGATTTGGCTTATGATGCCTTCGCAGTCAATAGACATGCAAGAAGAGAGCCAGGAGTCAAAGCTATGACAAGTGATCACAATGCCCCCGAGCTTGCTGATGGAACGCAATCTCCTATGAGAGTTCTATAGACGACGGGTGCGTAGATCATACTGTACCACCTGCAAAAGGAGCATGAAACCACACTTGCGCGAAGGATACTGGTGCAAAAATGCAAGAGATAACAACCTGGTGTGTGAAAAAAGACAGAGAAGAAGACAGAGAACAGCCAGAGGAACATTTGTGGTAAAAAAGATATGTGCTGTGAATCTAGCATGGTGCATGGCAGTGGAAGCACTCTAGAAGCCTAAGCTAGCTGCAGCTGTCCTCGCGTCGGTCCCTCACTTCACTCCCGCAGGGCGCCCTTTTTGGCACAAAACCGGTGCCGTCGAACCGCGTCGCCACGCGTCGGCTTTTGATGGTAGGCGGAGCCCGTCCGTGACGGGTCTCTGCCTGGCGCACCTCACTGCGCTTCCGGCGCGCCCCTTGCGCGCTGCTGCTGGCGCCGCTGGCAGCTGCTGCTCCTCGCCTGCGGCCTTTGGCGGCCGCTCGCTTCTGAGATCCCGCCCCGGCCGGGCCGGATCTCCCACGCTTGCACTAGCCGCAGTCAACGGCGACCCGGAAAAATGGAGCACAGCAAGATCAAGACCAAGGACTCCGAAGGCAATCCCACCGACAAAGGACTGAAGGCACTCTTGGAGACGCTCAAGGGAGCGATCGCTGTTGTCAAGCTCGTGAAGATCAATGAGCTGTCCATCACCGCCTTCTACAGCCCTCAGGTGTGGAGACGATCCCAAGAATCGATGCGGCAATACATCATTCGCCGAACAAGACTTCAGACGGCTAGAAGAGGTTGGCAGTGGTCTTAGCCAGCAGGAGCTAGTGTCGGTCCTCCGCTTGGTGAACAATGACTACGACTTCGAGAAGATCGCCAATGCGATGAGGATCCAATTCCCTCAGGCATCAGGCAAGCCAGTTCACCGGCGAGACCTACTTGCTTGTGGCCGCACTCCAGCTGCACGAGAGTCTTCCGTCGGAGCTACAAGCTGGGCAAGGGTCGTGGCCAACCTCAACATGTCCTCACCTCCGAGACAGACCTCGAGAGCTATGGTGACGCCTTTGAGTACTATGACGATGAGGCCTACATGGAGGATGAAGATGAGGAGTATGAAGCACCGACCTTCGATGGTGAGGCCTTCTGGGAAGATGGTGGATTGGAGGCACTCGCACAAGACCTCCATGAATCAGAAGGCAATGAAGAGGTGGCCGAAGCCCTCGCTATTGTCATGCAGTTCAAGAAGGGCAAGAGCAAAGGTAAGGGCAAGACAGGAAAGGCTTCCGAGCTTCAGGTGACATCTCCTTCGATGCCAAGGCCAAGGAACAGCGCAACACCGCTGTCAAGTTCTTGAAGTTTGTCGCCGCTTGCGCAAGCTGTGGCCAGAAAGGCCATTGGGTTGGCGATGAGGCGTGCCCCAACACCATGCAAGAAGAAGAAGATGTCTTCGCGCAGGCCCGCACTCTCACCTCCGAAGAAGAAGAATGATAGCAAGACGACCTTCTTTGTCTTGCGCGAAGGCATCGAGTCCGACGATGGGAAGGAGATCAACGCCACCTTTGCCCTTCCTGTGAATGACCAGTACGCTGCCTATGGTCAAGTCTACTGACTTTGACCAGGTGCCATCGAATGCCTCCTTTTCTGAGAATATGCAAGTCTCTGCGGGCCTGTGGGTGAGGAGGTCACTGCATGAGGATGCGCCGGGCAATGCTTTGGATGAGCCCAATGATGTCGAGCAAAAGCGAGTGATAGCTCCCACTGGATCTGTGAGCATCTTGCCACACTACATCGACGACGAGCGCAACTACAAGGACATTGGATCTGCACCTGGAGCAAGTTTCACTATGCATGTTTCTCCAAAGCCAGCGCGTGAAGTGCTGATGGTGCTGAAGGACACCCAGGTCTGTGAGCACGGCTCATACTTCGGTGGCATTGAACGTGAGTTCCACCGGGGCGCAAATGGCCATACAAGACACGCGACCTGCAAGGACCAGGATTGCAACAAGACCATCATCGTGGCTAAGCGCAAGGACGCCTCCCAACTCTGGCGCTACCTGGTCCAGATCGCACTACGCACAAAGTGGGGCAGGCAAGATCTCGTGAGCTCTTCGCAAATGTCTGCAAGGCACGAGACAAGGCACTTGCCGATGATGAGGAGCGACGAGCATTCCACGAGGCTATCCACGACAGCCCGGATCCCCTATAGCACTGCCAGCTGGGACCAAGTGAGCCGATCCAAGGATGGTTCATCGCCTTCATCGACCACTGCAAGGATCGTTCGACCAGGTGCAACTCCCGAGCCACGCTTTTGGGCATACGGTCTCACCGTCAGTTGAGCTGCCTATGTTTCCTCCCTTGGCCAAGGATCCAGCAACCACTTCTTGGTGATGCTTCTATCTTTGTTCCTGGAACGCCATATGAAGGGTTCGACTGTGGACAATCTATGCATCCATTGCCTCATCAACTGAGGCCAGTTTGTTCTGCCACCAGGCCATGAAGATGGCGCTTGAGGATCAACCCATAGCACCGGAAACCTACCGCTTCGCCTTCTACCTGTTTGACAGGGCGTGGTTCCTTCACAGCTCGACCATGAGGTTGTGGAAAGGCAGTACAACTTCCGGCCCAAAGAGAGCGTCCAACCCTGATGAAATGGTGGCGCAACGGCGCGTGCGTGTCCCCATCTCGCTTCAGGATGGTCATCCCGAGATGGTTCAACTCCACGACTTCGAAGTCCTCATGGCTTTCGAGAATCTCAGTCCGAGATTGCGAACGCTTGGACATGGAGACCACCTATTATGCATCAAGCGCCCAGAATCCTCCTGGCCTGGCTATACTTGACTCAGGTTGCGCAAGAACTATAGTGCACGGTGCCGATTGGGCTGTCGCATTTGAAGCCGAACTGGAGAAGCTTGGCCTCTCATCTTAGAGGCGCCTCAAGAAGCAGTCGTTCAAGGGCGTCGGAGGTCAGATCACTAGCGACACTGTCAAGATCTTCCCAGTTGGCGCCAGCAAGGTCAATGGTGAGGATCACCATGGAGCTAGAAGCGCCTGGTGGTCTGCCATTGCTCCTCTCTCGACCTTTCATGGAGGAGCTTCAGACCGTCATTGACATTGGCGCCCGCACCGTGAGCTTCAACAAGATCGGTGTCTCAGGACTTCCTTTGGTCCGCACGTCCCGAGGCCATCTAGAAGTGAGCCTGTTGGATTTTGACATGGACTCCATCCAGGACCAGTCCCCTGAGCACAAGAGCAACGACCATGACAAGTCGATGGCTCAGGACATCGCTCCAAGATCCCCGACACAGTCAGAGCTGGACTATTGCATCGGCCCTGACATGTTCCATGACTATGACGGGATGAACTCCGGTGACTACCACGATGAGACGATGGCACGTGAGTTGTTTCTTGATGAAGCCCGAGCAATTCGTGACGCCTATGAACGTGATCTACGAGGATCTGAATCTGCGGCACCTGCACCAGGTGAGCGTGGGCTGATCTGTGAAGATGTGAACTTCATCGACGACAACCCCGATCAGTTCATCGTCTGAAAGGCCACGAACATTGAGTCTTGGGACAACGCATTACATGGCCAAGACTGGCATCACCGACAGGTCATCTCCGGTAGCTTCAAGAAGGTGTCCACGTTGCCGGTCTATGGCAAGACCTGGATGAAGCAGCTCTTCGCTGGTCAGATGGGCCTATCTCTTTTGGCCATCATGGCGGGTCTCTCCGTCGGTATTATTTTGGATTCATCCTCTTCTACATTTCGCCAAGGGTTACAAGCGTGTATGCCATGACCTTCTTGTGGAGGACCCCTACTTGACCGTCATCACACAGGCATGTGGTTTTTGGTGGGGAAATTGGAGCCTCTTCAACTTGGCCCGTGGTGGACACGCTGCTGTGACCATCATGGATCTCCGAGAAGCCAACAAGCCCACGCTGTCTCTCGTCAACAAGATCACAAAAGACCGTATCAAAGCAAAGAGGCATACATGGGTCAAGCAGCCTGAGTGTGCCGACATCCTCAATTTCATCGAGGACAGCATCCTCCTGGTTCTCCGAGTGGACGGCTGCCAAGTTGGATACAAAGATGCTGAGAGCGGACTTCTCAACAAGAAGCCTTCGCTCTATGTCACCACCCTCTTAGCAGCTGAGAGCGTGTTTGCTGGACGTCTTTGTGCGATGGCCCTCACCAACATGAACACTTAGAGGGCCACAACAAGTATGGCTCGAGAACAGCGCAGGCCTCTGTCTGGCCTCATACTTTGAATGAGATGGTTTTGCAAGCTATGGTTCAACAAGCCTCAGCCGAAGCGACTGCCACCTACAACACTGCAGAAGCCTTTCCTTCGGAAGTACGCCCCGCTGAAGGTCCACCTGGTGAGCGTGAATCAAAGAGAAGAAGAAAGAAGGGAAGAGTCGCGCAGCTTGTTGGCCAGTATGCTGCCCCACCGGTCTATGTCCGACCTGATCAACCTGCGCTGGCACTACCAGATACCAATCTCCCTGAAGAAGACCAAGAGGCTGAACCCGCAGTGCCTCCATTGGATGATGCCTCCTTTCGAGCTTTGCAAGCGGCAGAGCTGGATCCCATCCTCAACATCACCGAGGGTGATAGAAGACGAAGATGGCTAACCATCTCTCTGGAGATCAGGAAGATCCTTCGAGATCTACATGTCCAGTTTGGCCATCCGACCAACAGCACTCTGCAGAGGATCCTACGTCACCAAGGAGCTATCGGCTCTACAAGGTGCTCATCTTCTACGATGTGATGCTTGTGGAGACAGCATTAGACGCCGGAGGCCAAAACCTGTCCGACTGCCCACCAGTTGAAACACTTGCAGATTGACGTGTTCCACGCCCGCGATGTCGCTGTATCTTCTTTCTCCTTCCTCAACGTCATTGACGATGCGACGGGCTATCAAGTGGTGTCCTTTCTTGGGCAATCTACGGGACCTCCAGCTTCCAAGGCAGTCTTGAGGCATTTCCTCACTTCGTGGAGCTCATGGGCAGGCTTGCCCCAGTCGATCCAATTTGATCGTGGCAAGGAATACCTCGCCTTCTTCAGCGGCTACCTGAACGAATTTGGTGTGGAGCGGGAGATTGTTCCTTTTGAAGCCCCGTGGCAAAAATGGAAAGGTTGAGAGAGCCGGTGCACTCTGGAAGGATGTCTTCTACAAGACCGCCCATGAGATGCAACTTCAAGGGCTCGAAGATGTGATCAGGGCGACCACCATCGTGATTCAATACCGGAACTCATTTCCACGACCCAACGGCTTCTCACCTGATCCGCATTCCTGGTTCACTACTTGATGAAGATGAAGCTCAAAAGTTGGAGTTGCTTGCCACATGACCTGGTTCAAGCTTCGACGCGACCGCAAGGTCTGTAAGTCCGGTGTTTCTATACCGCTATCAAGGTTGGCGTTCCGCGTCGTTCTTTCTACTCACCATCATCCCAGTGTTGGCCAACTGAGGCGCACCATACCCTTCCTCCGGCCCGCCCGGCCAAAACCAAACCCCCGCAATACAGACAGATCAATACAGCATATTTGCGGTGGCGCGTAGAAGTCAGGAGGGAAACGTCGTCGCAATCCTCCAAGAGCGGGCAGAATACGCGGTTTACTTTGCGCGATGCGTCGACGCCCAGCTTTTTTGCGCAAGTGTTCGACCTCGCCAATAACTCAGAATACAATTCTAGTGAAATTCCCCGCGCGCTGAACAACGCCGTGGTGACGGATAAGAACAAATCAGGCGTTATTCTGGTGTTGAAAGCATATGGAGCGGGCGGAAAGATCACCATTGGCTGTGAATCTCGCTCGCTCGCTCGCTGGCTTGCTTGCTTGCCTCTCATTCATTTCCTTTCTCATACTGGAGCTGGTTTGCTTTTTCCCTGGAGGTGGATTGCCATTATATAAGATAACCTTACATGGCACTTGGGCCGTGGCAGCAGGATTTCACAAGGATTTTGAATATCCATTCTTTTCCTACCGACCAAGTTTTTAGAAATATTCGTGTTTATGAAATCCTCATGGTGGCTCTACTGGTGTATGACCTGGTCTTTAGGAATTCACACAGCAAACATATCCACATACTCTAACAAGCTGGTACACCTACAGGAAAAGTAGTTAGATTCGAGACAAAAGATCGCAGCCCAGCATAAAGACGGAAGTCTTGTTGCGGGTCTGTCACGACCAAGAATCTCACCAAACAATGCGTGCAATCTAAGCTTGTGGAACGGTGATTGAATCAGGGAAAGGGGAACCGATACCCGTATGTACTTGAGCCTGACCTGGACCCTTAGAAAATTTGTTTAAAATCATTGCATGTTGTGATCTTCTGTGACGCTGAGATTCAGCACCCCTCCGTCGTGCAGATCTGCAGTTCTACAAGAATATGTTTCGTTTTGGGGTAACAGATGTGGGACATTTATGAAAATTTGTCTGCGCCCTCCAGCGTTGCCCACCGCTCAGGACCGTCTCCACGATCATCAACAAACGAGCAAGTTTTGCATCGGCCTCTGCGTACTGCTGCAGCTCCAAACGACCGCTGCAACTATAAAAAATAACGTTTTCAACCAGCAGGCGCGCACTGCGTCCTTAAAGATGGACCTTGGCCCCCGGCGGCGCAGCAGTTTCACACGACTCCCCCACACTGTCATTGACCGAATGTCACGAGCTGTCTGCTCACCCTCAACATAGAGTGGCAAGGTGGAGCTGGCAAAGTTTTGCTTTGAACCCCTGGCGGGTAAGACCACACCCGCCGGGGGGTCACGCGGCCTCGATGTCACGACTTTGGTCTTGACCATGGCGGCTGGGGCGTAGTCAAGATACAACTACCTCACTCTAAGTTTTGGAAGGCAGAATCGGAAAACGAGACGTCGTCGAAGAGGGCTACCAATAATATTGAGCTTTCGACGAGGGGATCCATTTACCGATCCAGAGGCATAACCCCGCCTATAATATGATATGCACCCAATGTATTATACCGAGAAAGGCTGGGTCAATTAATCCAACGATACCCCGACCTAAGTTCCAATTGCAAGTCACTCGCGCAACCACCATCCCAACACACCCGCCCCCCAACAACGTGCATCACCTGCTTCTAATCTAGAAGTATCACCCTCCAACCACAACCCCAAGCACTTTTTGCGTGGCGTTCTGCCGGCTATTGAAAGGAGTTGCCTGGGTAAGCCCACAGACCGAGGGGCCAAAAACCCAAGTCTGTGGGTAAGACCACAATGACAAGGACAAAGAACTTTTACACCCTGGGCTTTCGGAAGCGTGCACAGCTGACCTGGCCGCCGACGTGCTGGTAACGGATGGGGTGGTGGAGTGCTTCCACGCGCTCCATGGGCCACAGCCAAGTCCTCTTATATGGAAGCTCTGCAACTAAACTGGCCCCCTCAAGTCTGCGCTGGCCCGCTAAACTTTCAAAATGGCTCAGTGATTCACATCGGTAGGGCTGACCGAACAACGCCCACGCATGAATCTTGCCCTTGCTCGCAAGCCAGCATCCTCCTGGTCGTGTTGTTGTGCCTCGCACTTCCAAACATTTTTCACCTGCTTTTACTTTATTGAGCCAATAGTCCTTCAAGACCAGGATCCTGCTGTCATTCTCTTGCGGCCCCAATTCCCAAGTGGTAGGAATCTTCGCAGGCGCCTCCGCCTTGTTCTTCTTCCTTGAAGTCCTAGCCTTCATGGACTTTTTATTGGTCATCCTCTGACTGATGCGCTGCCACTGCTTTGAGCAAAAGAATTGCGCAATTAATTGACTTGTCAAACACTGACAGAGTCAGGAAAAACATGAAACGCCTCAAATATTACAGGTTGGTTGGTCTATGTGAAGGGGGTGGTATAATTCTGACACCGACATTAAGGAATATATCGGACGTATTAAGCCCACACAGACCCTCAACAACCAAACCCAACCCAATACACCCAATACGCTAAACATCGGCAAGAATGTGGCTTCACCAGTGTGCGCATCTATGCGGGGCTTGATGACACCAAAGAAGCCGCGCGCAAAGGATTGGCCAAGGAGCTTCCTCTAGACTATGAGGCTTCTGCAGACAATCGGGTGGCAATGGCCCTCTTGCTGTCGGAGTGGGAAACTTGCCGCACACACCCTGAGGATCCGATATTGAAAAAAATCAATCTTACGATTGATCCAAAAAATTTTTCAATATTATTGAAAATGGTCAAGTTGGAAGCCTCAGAAATCAATATCATGTTCAATATAATATTGATAATGATATTGATCAATATTGATCAATATTGATTGAAAATATTGATTGTGATATTGATCGATATTGATCCCTTGCCTTGGGCTTTTCCTCTGTTGGGCGCATGCTATGCAAGTCAAGAATGGGTGAAACAAATTGCTTTCTTTCAAGCATGCTCCTGCAAGGCTCTCTGGCACCTTTGGCTTTCTTTCAAGCCATCACACCATGTTATTGATCCTGAGCTGCAGGGCCATGGTGTATTTGGTGATGAAAGATTCACTGAGCCTGGCAGCTCTGGTGCCATGTGAGCAGCTGTGGCCCAAAGTGGCTATGTATCCCATGAAGGATTCTTGCTTGTAAGTCCAACAAGTAGCTGGGTTTTGGAATTGTGTCATCAAAGCAATGTGCGCTACAAAATGGCACTTTGGAGTCAAGGTGAACCTGACCTCATCAGCAAAATGGCTGTGCAACCAAATGTATTGCAGCATGCTTTCTTTCAAGCACTGGCTTGCCTTCACACTGTCTTTCATGAAAAGATCGTCCTCTGCAATGAAAGAATAGAATTTTGCCATCTGGTGGCAGCATTCAGCCATGTGGGCATGAGCCTCACACTCATTGGCTTTCTTCCAAGCCACCAATGCCAAAGCAGGTGCCAAATGCCTGATCTCACCTGCATGGCCTTTGAGTTTGGCTGGTTGGGACCATGGTTTTTCATGGTTGGTAAACATGGAAACCACTAGGTTGTTGAACTTCTCTTTGATGCCAAGATCTTTGTACGCTTCTTTAAGCAAGGCCCAGATCTCGGCTGTATTTTTTGACCCGTCCTGTTTCTTGGCACCAGGTGGAAAAGCCCAAGCGTGGAGGACAGACCCTGCCAAATCCTGGCTGTCACTCCCAAGTCCAAGGTGTGCAGCACATCCAAGCACACCCTGTATTCAGGCAAGCCACCAGGGATTGTGAAAAGAGTGTGCTTGGTACAGGGGCTTTCTTTCAAGCCTTCAAAAGATTTCAGGGCCCACCCTGGTTCAGCGGTGAAATCATATGGGTTTTTGCTAGGGTCCTTCTTGTTGCAATCGCACAGCCAGCAAAATTTGTGAGAGCTCCAATGGGGAAACCCCAAATGGTTTGCATAATATTCAAGATCCCCCAAGAAATTCCACACCCAAAAGCAAAGCTTTTGTGGTGTAATTGGCTTTCCTGCAAGCCTTTGTAATGCTGGAGGCAAAGCATTGCCTTTCCAATTCACTGCTGGATGCAAGCCATGGAAAAGTGCTGTGAAGCTCCATGCTATGATCTCATGAATTTCACCCCAGGTCTCCTGTGTAGTTGCTGATTTCGGCCACGCAGTGATCAAAAAAGAGCTGTCCATGCTGAGGTTTGCTTGTTTCTCGCTTTGGCTTTCTTGCAAGCCCTGGGGCACATAGAGTGTGGGCCCAAAACTGAAAGTTAAAAGGCTGTCTGTAGAAAATTCCACACCATCTCCATGAAGCCACAAAGGAACAGTTCGATGTTTTTGGCTATCTGTCAAGCCACTGTCCCACAGCCTGGGGTCATTAGGCTTCAGGCCTGTCCAAAAAGCTTCGAGCTTCTGCAAGCCAAACAAAGACGGTGTCAACTTGGGATAGCTTTCAAAAAGCTGCCAGACCAAGAGGTGTGGCGCAACTATGTGACACATAGCCTTTGTCTTTGGGCTCTCTTCTTTGGAGTCTAGAGCTGGCACCTCAATGGACAAAGTCGGGCTTTCTTTCAAGCCTCCATATTTTGACTTCTTTAACTTGTTTTTCAACAATCTGAGGATGTCTCGGTGGCAGTTATTTGGGTGGGCACCAAAGCTACCTAAACCGCTCAGCTCTACAAGCTCTTTGTTTTGCAGCCCATCTGCAGCTGCTGAAGAAGCAAGCTCCTGAAGCCCTGAGCTACTCAGCTTCCCTAAGGACCAAAGCTGCAACAATTTTTTGCTCAAATTTTGGCCTTCTTGCAGGCCCTCGGCTTTCCTTTTCTTACTTGCTTCAATTTCTAGCTGCTGCTTGATCCCTACCATATGGGCCAAAATGGCTGCAGTTGTACATGTGTGTGTCCTTTGCATGCAGCT